TTATGAATAGATAGATTATTTCGTTCGCTATTGTCAATGCTCGTGCGTCAGTAAACGTGTGTTTCTTTAAATTATTGTATGCTCAATATCCATTGTTAATCTTAAAAAGGTAAATACATATTAATAAGGACTAATATTTTTTCTTTTAGCCTTATAACGGATTTAAACGGTTGCAAACTAACCCTCATGTTCACCCCCAAAAATAATATTTCCGTGATAACTCGGATCGGGTTCTAATCAATATTTTGGATTGAAACAAAATGGAAATTACTTATAAAAAAACATTTATGGGTTTATGTATTGCGTCAGTTGAATGTATGACGATATTCCACCAAATAGAGATACTCTCGGGGAACCTATATACAAAATATTTGGAACGCTATAGACGTGAATTATACAGGGTGTTAATGAATAGGTGTTACAAACGGATATGGTATGTAAAAAATCCAAAAATAAGTGCAGTTTACTTAATGAACATATGTCCTAAAGCGGCTCATTTTCGAGATACAGGGCGTTGAAATTTAAAAATAATAAACTATTTTTTCCTGTAGCTCCGGTATTAGTTAATATTCCTTTATCAAACTCAACAGACAGATTTACTAGCTTAAAGGATGCATAAATATGGCAGAAACCATTTATTGGCTTCTTCCAGTGGCGTGCGATAGGTGTCGTTTCAGCTTTTATCCCCCCTAAATTGTGCGGCACTGTACAAATATTAGTTTTTCGTATGTTTTTGAATTTGCTAGTATTTTTTACGTAAATAATGTATACTTGTTAGACTTCCATAAAATGAGTAATTATCAAGTTATTAACATTTACATTACTGAGGTCACCTTATGCTCCAAAAACTATGTTTTTCTATGCTATGCTAGTTTTCGAGATACAAAAAGTTAAAGTTGTTTAAAAGGTATTTTTATTTTGCACAAAAAAATTACAGTAAATGCTCAAAATTACGGCCACCAGTAGCGATACAAGCGTTAATTCTTCGAAGCATATTTGTGTACATTCGGTCAAAAGTGCCAGGCGTCGTTTCGATCTCCTGCGCTGCAGCTAGAATGCGTGCTACCAAATCTTCTTCTGACTCAACAGGAGTTTCATAAACTAGACTCTTCATATGGCCCCACAAATAAAAGTCAAGCGGGGTCATGTCTGGGGAACGTGGTGGCCACGCCATAGGT